GGTCCCACTGCTGTGGCAGATGCAGAAGCCTGAGTTTCTCCCCCTCTTTGCTTCCCAGCAGAGCCCTGCCACCCCCTTGCCCCAGCGGGCTGCCAACAGCTTGTTTGTGCAGGGCATGTCCCTGGGCAGCCACTCTTCCCTGGCAGCAGCTGGGGAGCTGGAGGAAGTTCAGTCTGCTTTTCAAGGCAAAGATACCTTGAGGAGGAGGTCTGTGCTGAGGAGGCAGCCTGGCCTGTCTCTAGAGAGCAGTGCAGCTGCAGTGAAGCTGCCCTTAGCCACCTGCCCCACCAGCACTGCTCCCAGGGACTGTGACACCCCAGCTCTGAGGAGCACTGCTCTCCCTACGCACATGGAACTGTGCTTTGGCCTTAGCAGTCAAGGATTTGGGATTTGCAAGCAGCTTGGCACTTGCAAGTAAATTTCCCACACACTGGCAGCAGCTGGGGCCGGCGCCGAGACAGCGGTGGTGGAGAGCGTTGGTGAGTCCAGAACTCTGCTCTCTGCTGACCAGGATCACTGTTCTGGCCGGTAATGTTCTGCCATCACCTGCACCAGGGGAGGTCCCTGGGGACCCCCAGTACTGCCAGAGATGGCTCAGCTGCTGCAGGGCAGACCTGTGCCTGCAGAGGAGCAGCCATTTACTCCCCACAGACCTTTGGGACCGTAGCTTTGCTGAGACAGCGGGAAAAATCCCCTGCGAGGATTCAGTCCAGCCCCAGTAACACAGCTCTGCACCCAAACCCCTCCGTCCCCAGCACCCTGCCCAGAGGTCCCAGTGCAGCTCTGGGTGCCCCCAGCATCAGGGAACCACCTGTGCCAACATCACAACTTGGAGCCAAAAAGGTCAGGCTGGTCACTGGAGAGACCCCTTTGGGCTACCTCAGCACGCACTTTCCCGCTTTCCTCCTGCTCTCCCACCTGCCACGTTGCTCCTCAGGTAGATGCATGAAAGTCAGGCAGTTGGAATTACTTTCTGCTGCCCTTGTACCTGCTTTGCATTCTCCCGTAATCTCCCGGGCTGTCAATCTCGTACCGTCGCAGGCTCTCAATTCCCAGGGAAGCTAAACACATATATATTGCACAAAGAGATCCGTGGGCTGGCGCTAAAAATGGAATACACCTCGCTCTGAGTGCTGCAGACGGCCTGGCAATATACTGGGTGTGAATTATGATACTGTAATTCAAGCTTTGTCAAACAGTGGGGCTTAATTAGAATATATATATAATTGTAAAAACTAAAAAGCTGACGAGTACAATTGTGCGTTTGAGCTGCCTGCTACAGAAAATAATGAGGAGAGAATACATTAAGGCACAAAACCCTTCTACCTTCAAAGAGCAGCTAGCTCTGATTAAAAATACCCCCGGCAAGGCGAGGGGACTCAGCAAGAGGCGGGAGAATCTGCAGCACTGGCTCAGCCATAACTCTCACCCCTGTTCTGCAGCTTCTGCCTGGCATAGCTGCAGCCTTGAGGTTCCCCCAGCTCCCCACGCTGGCATTGGGGGTTTCATATTAGGTACAATGAGATGTCCCAGCTTGGTCTCTTAGGACTGTCAGATTAAAGAACAATATGGTAAACATCTCATTTGCCTGTTTCCCCCCAGTGTAGAGCTGCAGTCCCATGGATGCTTCAGTGCCCTTGGCTGGGGGCACACAGGTGCCCCCTTGGGGGTGTGTGTTTTCTCCCAGAAGCCAGAGAGCAGAGTTCCTCCAAGGATCCATTGCAAAGGAGGGGGAAAAAAACCCCCAGACTAGCCTAGTCATTGACCCTGGTAAAGATCCCATGCTGCTCCCCAGCACTGAGCAAGCAGCAGAGGATGGGTTTGCATATCAGTGGTATTATGGCCCTGTAAGGGGTTGTAGGTGGCGGAGGGATGTCCTGTGGGAGAGGTGACACATCAGGGCATGCACAACCCTGACTGCTGTGTGGGCATTACAGACAAACTCCGCTGCAGCTCAGCAGCTTGTCAGTGCTGGTGTGTGGGAATGTGCCCTGGCTTCTCCTGAAAAGTATAAACCCCTAATGTAAAGGTACTCTGCGCTGTGCCTGGGTTCCCATCTGAGGATGGGTTTTGGGAACCCCACTCCTCCAGTGATGATGGAGCAGTGTCAGGGCCCTCGGGGAGCAAAGAGATTTGCAAAGGACAGCGGAGGGAGCAGCAGTGCTGCCTCCCAAAGAACTGCATGTGCAAGGTAAACATGTACCAAGAGCTGGTGGGGCTTTCAGCGTCTGGCTGTGAAGTGCCGGGTTTGTTACTGCTTAATAATGGAATAAAAGAACGAGGAGAGCATTCCCGTCTTATCTGTCGGAGCAAGCAGGGGAGTTTGTGTGCCTGTGACGGCAGCGCTCTGTTATTGATCCATAAAAGGTATAATATGTCTCTATAACACCCTTTGCATGAAACAGAGATGCTGTGAGCTTCAATTAACTGGCAATCTATTATTAATCCTTGCCAACGCCTATGGGAATCCTGGAAAAGGATGTCAGTCTGCCATGGACAGCGGTGGGAAAGCCCTGGGAACTGGGCAGTTCAGTGCCTCAGCAGTTTTCCCAACTCTCCCCTGGGTGGCATTCACATCTCTCCCACCAGTGTGGGAAAGCCCCCGGGATGCAGCTCCAGCCCAGGACATTATATCAGCCCTGAGCACCTTTCACCTCCCTGGGTCCTCTCACATGCCATTTGACTCTTCAGAGAGTGCTTTTGGAAGTGGCACCCTCCTTGTGTCCCGCAGGGAGAAATGCCAAGGGGAGCTGTCAGCAAACCCAGCGAGGTGTAAATGCTTCTCAGCCAGTGGGTCTGGTGAGACCCCCAAAGCCAGGTTGGAGGGGAGGCCATTTTTTGAGACCCTTTTATTCCCTTCAGGGCCCACAACCCCTACAGCCCTTCAGCAGGAGAATGGGTGAGCTGCACACACCCTACAGCTGTCCACTCCCCCCAGTTTGTATTCGAGCTCCTCCATGGGAGGTGAAGCTCAGGGAGGATGCGCTAACACAGGGCTTGGCGCGCAGCAAGTCAGCGCCTTAATATTTACTTAATCACGGAGAGCAGAGGGAGCGAGGGAAAGGATGGTTCCTGGCATACCAATGTGAGTTGGGGTTGCCACCACATCCCTCCTGCCGGCTATCACAGCGACGCTGCATTTCCCCCAGCCGGGTTTGTAATGCTTCTCATCCCACCAGAGACGCGACGTGGGCTTCCCCTTCCGCCTGTTTTTAAGCATGGTTTAAAACAGGAGAATGATGGGGCCCTGTTGGTTCCTGAAAATCCAGCAAAGACTGGGGAAAAAGCTGTGCAGGGAAAGGGAGACTGCATGAAGTTGTCAGACTGACAAGCCTGGGACAGTTGGCCACAGCAGTAATGATTGTGCTGGGTCTCAGCAGGGATGTTGGTGGTTCAGCAGTCCCCCCTTCCCCCCCCGTGCAAGCACTGGAGCTTGGCGGGTGTTTTTCAGTGCTGTGGATGGTCTTGTGTGTTCCTTACTTTGCTCCTTTGCACCGACAGACCACTTGTTAACCCCATGACTTGACCCTGTCAGAGCAGGAGAGCATTGCCGGCCTCACAGTACCGATATTTCACCAGCAATAAGGCCCGAGAGGGAAATGCTTTGGGAAGGGGGGAGCAGGGCACGGAGGGAGGCGGAGGGTGCCAGGCACAGCCCTGCTGCGCTGAGAAAGAGGCTCTTCCACGTGGCTCTCTCCGTGGATTTCACACGGGTTTCCCTGCATCGCCCGCTGCCGGCCATTCCTCCAGGCACACAGGGAAAGGTCGGCATCGCTCGGCTGGGTGAGAAACACCCCGTGGGCTGGGACACGCATTCCTTACACCCCCTCTCAGCAGTGCCTCATGCCGAGCCTTTTGGTGGGGGGGGAGAATCCCGCAGCGACTTCCCAGCCGCAGACCCTGCACATACATCACCCTCAGGTTTGCTGAGTGCACGGTTAACAGACGGCAAATGAGATGAGATGTGATGTGTGAGTAAGTGGAACCAGAGCTGCAGCTGTTGCAGTACTTAGTGACCACTCTCGGTAGAAGTTTTTCACCGAAATGCTGATACCTGCTTTCTGATGGACTGATGCCTTCCCGTTGTTATTGTCCTTGTCAGTAAAGCTTTAAATTTATTCATGAAGCGTGCTGGAGCTCAGGTGGCAATAGCTAAATCCATTTAGCAGTAGGAATAAGAGGAAAGCCATTTTAATGTTCTCTTGCAGTGCTGCAGTACTTAGCAAACCCAAAGGATATTAATTACTCAGCATGCTCTGAGATGTAAAAGCATGAATTTATCAAGACAAATACATTCAGAACTAGGGTAAGTCAACAGTAATTAATGCCATGGAAAAAAAGACAGAGAAAGGAAGGATTAGCTGGCCCTCTTGCAGGAGAACATGATGGAGCACCAAGTTATCCCTTGGATATGGAACTGGAGTTGTGGTGAGGCATCTCTACCAAAAAAATCTGCCTGTGCCTGTCAGGTGTATCCCTGGGATGGGGGTTTGGTCCTGGTTCACATTTCTGAGGCAGAATGATGCAGGCGGCCTCTGAAATGCTAAGTCGTGCTTGGAAGCCAGCAGCAGCATTTTCATACAAAGCCTTTGATGTTGGAAGGCACTTGAGAAGGGCTTTTTTGTTTTTCACTGAATTTGTCTGCGCTATCCCAGTGTTTTCATGGTGTTTGGCAAACATATAATCGTGAGCACAGCCACAGATGAGTGGCAGCTCGGGAGATGAATTGGTAGGCTCTCCTTGACAAATTTAAGCATAGCATGTGTCTTTATACTACATCCATTAGGGCAGACAAATGGAAAATCTCAAGATGACTGCTCTGCAATTTAACAGTCACAGCATTCGAAGAGGGCCGATGTCTTCCTCATCACCAGTGTTGGGTCAGGCTTGGAAAAAAACCAGCAAAAAACTAAAGCAATTTTAGCAAACGAGTCTAGCCATGCCTTATTTAAAGGTGGTTTACTTTGTGAGTACACCCAGTGCTGATTCTTTGTCTCCAGGTCATGGGGACGATGACGACTTCAACCTAGAAGACGCCCTGTTTGACCTCACCACCAAGCGACGTAAGTCACATTTATGTATTGTTTTAAAGAGGGGTAAACAAATAGATGTTAATAGATGCAAGTTGTTCTTTGGTATCTGAGGCAGGTGGGAGGGTGGTGGAGGATACAGCTATCTCATCATCTCTGCCTGGGAGACACAGGGTCTGGGTTTGTGGTGAGACGGGGGACAGTCCTGGAGAAACTGGCTGCTGACCAGGTGCCCTTCGCTTCCTGATTCCTGTGAGGAGCCACAGAGGCACAGTACACCTGTGCTCTGACATAGCAGTGGCACTGAACACGTCCCTCTGGCTTCCTTGCTTCTGTTAGTTACAAGCTGGTGAGGGCAGCTCACTGTGCCTGCCCAGGCAGGGGCAGCACCGGGTCCTTCCCCACTGCCACTGTAATGTGGTGTCCGGGAAAGCAAATGGCAATTTAGGTTGCTGCTTTGCTTCACTTAAGTTCCACTGTAGCCTATCAGTCAAAGGAAACTCCCTTCCAAAAGAGGTGCCTTGCTGCTGGCACGCTGAGATTCAGTATTTGGTGTTTTTTAAACCCATAAGAGAGAACCTAACAACACCTGAGGGGAGGAAGCTCATCTCCCTCCCTGAGATATGTCACACACCTCCTGCCAGCACCAAGAGCTGAGCCCAGACACATCTCTGGCTCCACTTTGCTGCCCAGCCATGGAGACTCTGTGGTGGAGCTGCAAACACCAGCACCCAGGACCCCTTGCTGGCCATTCCTCCCCACGTGGCTCAAGTTGACTGCCCCCAAACTCAGTGCCCGGCCAGGGAGTGCTCCATGAGCGAAGCTGGGCTCTGGGATCACACCCACATGCATTTAAGTGAAAGCTATAAGAGGGTTATAGCTTAACCTCCTGTGCTAGTCGAACAACACACAGGCACTTGTTCTGTGTTACATTGGAGATGACGTGGAACAGTGTCAGGACGCTCTGTGCAGCTCTCCTGTTGCATGCCGGGTTCAGTAGGAGGGGAACAGGATAGACCGTGGGGCTTCAGACTTGGTCACAGGGCTGACTCAACTCATCTAGGATTTTGCAAGCTCTTTAATACAGCATGTGAGAAGACCTGGTTAGAAATGACTAATGGACACCTCATGCAGAGGGAAAGTGGTGTTCCCCAGGCTGGAGTGCCAGCAGAGGCAAGAGGCAGCGCCATCCCTGCAGCCTCCCCAGCTGCTGCATCCCACTCTGGAGTCATTGTGTCAGCCCCAGAATAATAGCAAATCAAGGGTCTGGAGTTGGGTCACATCAAACCATACTGACACGCTGGAAATGAAACCCAGCAGCACCACTCCAGTCTAACAGAAATTGATGGGAATGGAGCAGCCACAGCTCTTGCTCATAATTTATTCATATACTTGGTAATGCCAGCCACTATTAATAGGTAGTGGTTTCCATATTGTCTCTTCCCTTCCCCCTCAAAGGCTGTCTGTATCTTGTTTTAGCCCAGGAGCAGTCGGGGGGCTGGGATCTGAGTATCAGGGTGTCACTGAAATCCCTCCAGCTGACAGGGAACCTCCTGAACATAACACGGCACTGGAAATTATCTGTCATTGAACTGACCGACCTGCCAGGGGACAACAAAACATTGGCAACTCGCTCCTGGTTTCCACGCTGTTCTGTACTGTGTCTGTCCCGTTTGCTGCTGTCTCCAGGAGCCTTAATCCAGAACAGATTGTCACAGCTCCCTGCCCTTCACCAGCTGGGATGGGATGGGATGGTGGCTGCCTGAGGCGGTGCTCACCCCAACACAGCAGTGCTCTGAGGAGCACTGGGCTCTGTCCTCATCCATGGGCAGTCCTGCTCCCTGTGGCTGTGCACTGTGTGTGGGGTGCTCGTGGCTCTGGGCCCCAAGTCCACAAATGCAGACGTTGGAAAGCTGTGGTGAAATCTTTGCCATTTATTCTCAATCCAGAGGTGACATTTTCACTGACGCCTACGATTAACATTTTTCCTCCCCATCTGTTTTGTCACAGCCACTCCCAAGGGCCCCAGAAAGCCTGCAGGTGGAACAGGTGAGACCTTCTTGCATGCGCATCATCTCAGCCCGGCACGGAGTTTGCTTCCCAGTGGGGTTTGAACTTTGTGAGCCCCCGCAGGTTCCTGTGTGTGGCTGGGTGGTGCTCTCAGCAGGTGCTTTTGGACCCTTTCACTTGCCCGTAGGGAAAGCTGGACCCAGCGTGTGCACATGCACTGCTCCTGTGCGGCCAGAGAAATGCAATATTGATATTTCTGTCCGTGCTGAAGGAAACTGGCAGCGGAGCATTTACAGCCAAGGCTGAATTTCGCACACTTTGCAGTATCCTAATGGAAAAGACACAAATCACTGCTCAGCTACACAAGGGCTTTTGTTCCTGGCTGCATGGCACCTGCTAGCTTTCCTTCCAGAAGGAAGCCCAGAGGATATTTTCTTTCCCTTTTTTTTTTTTTTTTCTTTTTTTTTTTACTCCAAGATATCACTGACCTCTGTGGAAAGTCCCAGCCTGGTGAGTGCCTGTCCGACTGTTTGTGCACATCAGATGTGCTGGCTGGCCAGCTCCCAGCAGTGCCACAGTTGAGGAAGCTCCCTTAAATTCACCCGAGTTCTGTTGCCAGCAGCTCCTCTGGCTCAGTCCTGGCCAAAGAGTGCTATTTAAATATAGCGCGGTCACAGGAGCCCCGGCGTTGCTCAACCCCGCCAGAGGAGCCTGAAATAAACTGCAGCAGGGGAAGTGAATCCGCTCATCCCTGCATGAGGATCTTGGCACAAATCTAAGCAAAATCAGCTGTCTGACTCCTTGGACAGCATGGTCTTTGCTAGGGAAAAGAAAAGCCAAGTGCCAGAAGCACGCGCAGGGCTTCAGCGTTTGGACTGCAGCCCGAACGAGAGGTTGTTCGATCCAGTAAACTCTCCCTGGGAAATGGACACATGCTGAGGCTTCTTCTCAGCCAGTTTCTTCTTCCCCAGGGGTCCTTTTTGGGTGAACGATGGCACTGAGGGGCTCCTGCAGTGGGTTTCCGTGCCCTGGCCCCTTTCCCATGCATGCCCTGTTCAGCTCGGGGTCACTCACGGGCGGCTGCACTGGGAGCAGAGCGTGTCCAGCCACAGCACCTTCTCATCTGCACCAGCTCTCAGCAGATGCTGCAGGATACTGGCAGGACTCTCCCACATTATTTTGGGGTTGCTGGGGCTGGGGGTGGGCAGCAGCCAGAGCCTGGATGGGGAGAGTGACACGGTGGCCAGGCTGGTGTGAAGGCTCTGCTATAGGTCCCAATTAAGCAGCAGAGTGGCTGGATGCCCTGTCCAGCTCCAGTAGCCCCTGACAGTGGTGCAGCACCTCGTGACAGCACCCACAGAGCTGCTGGGCAGGATGTGTGCCCACAGCCTCACACTGTCCCCACAGACAGCAGGGGTTTGACAGTCCCTTCTCTCCTGCAGACTTTGATTTGGCTGATTTCTTTGACACACCTCCGGAGACTACCACCAAACCAGCCAAGCCGACTTTAAAGCCCTACCCCAGGCCAGGGAATCCAGGTAATGCCCTGTGGGCTCGAGCATCCCCAAGGCACCCGTGGGCAGGGATGCCCCCTGTGTCAAGGCTGCCAAAGCTGTGGCTTTGAGAGCAGAGCACTGAACCAACCCAATGCAGCCTCAGTCTCCCTGCAGGGAGGGGCTTTCCCTTCCCAGCACTTACCCAAACCTGTGTTTTAGAAGGCAACGTAATTTTGGTCTATTTTCCTCCCCCCCCTCTTCAGACAACAGCTTTTGGGATGTCATCCGCACCACCACAACCAAGCAGCCAAAAACTACAAGAGCCCCTCCTAAGCGTAATCCAGGTAAGCATCAGCTCCACAGCCCCCACAGCTTTGCCCTGGCTCTGCTGCTGGCACAGGCAGAGGTTTTGGGATGTGCCATGACAGTGGCACTGCCCTTGTGTTCCAGCCTCTAGTCTGTTTGCTCACATGAGACACCTTGAGAAAATACCAAAACCCACACAGCCTACAGGGCATCTCAGCATTACCCTGCACTTCCCTGGGGGTCTCAGTGGTTCCTGGACCATTTTTCATTCCTGTGCCTGTTGGAAGGCTGTGAGCTCACCGTCCTCCCCATCACAGCACAGCCAGGCTGGGCTCCACCAGCACACCCACCCCACAGGCTCTGGGCACCCTGTCAGCCGGGTGTTTTGCCGCCTGCTCAGGCAGGCTTTTGGCAAAAGGCGCTTCCAGGCTTAAAAAAAACCCCAGTGTTGGATCGCAACAAACTCAGGTGAGCACTGGTGGGAGGGCTGAGGAGCTCAGTTGGCTCTGGGATGTGGTTTTTGATGCCATTTAGCGGAGGCAATAGCCTCTCTCAGAGCTGGGCTGCTCGGGGGACCATTTGTGGAAGAAAATAACTCCAAGAAATCAAGTCACAGGCTGTTCCAGCCAGCACATCAGGGTGGTGCAGCCACCTCATTCCCCTCCACTGGCTGGGGCCTTGGAGTGCCTGTTTGGCTCTGACCTTTCCTGCTGGCTTTATTTATCCAACTGCCTGGCAATCCAGCCATGGCGAGGCTGTTTCTGCAGGAAGGATATGACATTTCCCACTATAGGGGCATGGAATGGGATAGGTTTAGAAGATCTGCCACAAGGCTGCATAGTGGAACTGGGAGATGCTTTTGTCAGAGACTTCATCTCTTTACAGTGCCCTGGCAAAGCTGAACATTTCCTTGATTAATGAATTAACTGCAGAGCTCCTCAGCCTGTAGTCACACTGCTAACCCTAGCCTTGTTTTCTAGAAAAGAATCCTATGGACTTTGACTTGGCCGATGCCTTGGATGATAAGAACGATAGGAAAGATCCTGGGAGGCCAGATCTAAGGCCAGGTGAAGGTAATGCTGACCTCTCTTCTCTGTCCTGCTTGCCACCAGTCCTGCTATTCCCTGGAACCTGTGGGAGATCCTCCCCAGCCCTTCACTGCCAGACTCACCACCTCCACTAAGGGGTGGGATAAAGGGATACGGGCACTGCCTGGTCTGAGGTCCTGCCTCACCCATTGCCCCTGCCCTGCCTGGGGATTTTCCACAGGCAGCTCGGCCCTGAGGAGGGAAGGAGCCCCTGCCTCAAGAGTCCCTGGCAGAGAAGGGCTCTTCCTAATGACCTGCTGCCTCTCTGTCCACAGGTTTTTTTCCCAGGGTCTCTTTTGACCCATTAAATTGCAGTAATGTTGAGTTCCCCTGTCCCTGACAGCTCCTTAACCGAAGGCGTGTGCTTCTGGGGCTCACAGTCACTGCCAAGGTGTAAATCTAGAGCAGGCTGAAGCCCCGGCATAACACGTGCTATGGGCTGGGAGGGGTTTTTTTTCCATCTCTGAAATACTCCAGTGAATGAATCATTTGTCTATGAGGATTGTTCCCCTGAGCGCTTGGGCTGGGAAACAGACTTTGCACGGCTGGTTTATTGATGTCGGGATGGCCGTATACCCTGCTCAACACGCGTAATTAACAGTCAGGTATTTTATTACATTGTATTAACTAGGTGACTTGTCTGCACTTTGGTATTCTGGGCTTGCTGAGGTTTCAGGCTCCTGCAGGAAAGGTTGAGGTGTGGAACCGCTGGAACGTGGCACTGGCTGCAAACCAGCACACGCCTTCCCCCGGCACCACTGCTCCCTGGGCTGCCTGGGACCTCTCCAGCCTCTGGCATAGTCAGGGCTTTCATTCTTTTTACACTCATTACTAAGCCCATAAATCTGTTTTTTTTTGTGGTAAGCTGATGAATAAGGCAGTCTCTTCCAGGCTGTTAAGGCAAAGGAAACCCTTCCCAAGGCTTAGTATCAGAGAAGGTGCCTTCTGCTGGCTAAGTGTTGGGTCTCTTCTGCCATCACGTGCCTTGCTGCACACCAGGGCTCCCTCTGGGGCCAGAGCCGAGGTGTTCAACAGCACCACGCATTCAGCTGCAGATTCACAGACCATGTTTCTCTGTTCTTTTCCTCCATGGGTTAAACATGCCCACTTTCACCTCTGCCAAGACATGCTGCTTACTCAGTTCTGCCCCTGGACTGCTCTGTCCCTCCAGGAAGGATAAGGGTCAGCTCCTGCCTGCAGGACCCCAGGCCCAGCTGGTGCTGCCAGGGTCTCACCAGAGGCAGGGCAAGGGCACGCTGGTCCCTGGCATCATGGCAACTGCACTCACAAACCACTTCCTCCTGCCTACTCCACTGCCAGCCAAGCCCAAGTACCAAAATGTTTCATGAACTCTGAAATACATCAGTTATTTCAGTTAAAAAAATAAAACAGTAGCATTTAAACTTTGCTTTAGGGGTATTTCTTTTGAGCTAGACCTAAAGTCAGTTATTACCTCTTCTATGGCCTTTAAATAATCCGGGGTTAAACATTTTGTTAACGTCGGGTAATCGCGAGAGAAGCAGAACTGCACATTCCCCAGTCCCAGTTCTCAGTGGGGTCTGAGCAGCCCATGACATCAACCTCCAGCACAGCCACGGCTCCCACAGGTGCCAACCCCCATTTATTCCTGTTCCTTTTAAAGGGTTTTCAGATGATGACCTGGCCAGCATCGTGGACGGCGGATACAGCCCAGACAAGAAGAAGGGTAAGCGGTGACCTACGTGTGGTTGTTTGCTTTAGCAGTCGCAGCTCAGGCTCAGCAATCACTAAACTGGTAATTTGGCAGTAATCTGCCAAAGACCCCAGAAAAGAGCAGCACTCACCTCCGTGGCAGGGGCAAAAAGGGTCTCAGCCATGGAGCCAAGGGGAAAAGATTTTGGCCTCCACGGTCACACCTGGTGCTGCGGGTTGGAGGTGCTTGGTTTTGACCCTGTGGCGGGTCTGCAGCTCCAGCTGCCACCAGGGCAGATGGGGCCTGTATCTCCCCTATCACCTCGAGGGCAGACACCTTCGTTTGCCTTCCACCACACAACCACCACTGCCTGGAACGAGGGGGAAGACCATCAGCAGTTGGATAAGCCTGTGCGGTCGCGAGGATCCTCAGTATTAAATATTAAAAGCAGCCGCGTAAAGAGCTGAATGCCACAAGCCCAATCAACACTTAATGAATCCCTGTGCCAAGGACAAGACGCATCAGAGGCATTAATACAACACCGACCTGCTTCCATAAATTCAGGATGTGAGTGACTCGGCAAGGGCCGCGGCTTCCAGTGGGAGCAGCTTCTCCTCCCCTCCAGTTTCTTCAGGGAACGTGAAATACACTTCAAGCCAAGTGAGGGTTCCCTGACATGATGGAGCTCGGCCAGTCACCTCCCTGTGATGGCACCATGTGCTGTGTAGTGCTCTGACAGCCTCTCAGGTGTTGTCCTTACACTGAGAGCAGCAGAGGTGCAAAGGGCAGGGATGAGGGGAGCTGTCATGCCCGCTGACAGGCTTGTGTCTCTGCAGATACCAGTGACAACAGCGACAACAGCTACAGCGGAGGTAGGTGCTGCCGTGGATGGGGGGACAGCTGTGGGATGGGATAGGATGGGATGGGTGGTGTGGGTGCCCCCATCACACAGCACCCCCTCTCTCTGTGTCCCACAGTGGCAGAGCCGGGGACTATCGCGGGCATTGCCAGCGGCCTGGCCATGGCGCTCATCGGGGCCATCTCCAGCTACATCTCCTACCAGCAGAAGAAGTTCTGCTTCAGCATCCAGCGTAAGTCCCTCCCTGAGCACCCTGGGGACACAGAGCAAGCACGCTCCTTTTTTCCCCCTGAACCCCACTGCTGTTTTCCAGCCTGGAGATGGGATTTCAGGCACCCAGAGTGCGCAGGCTGGCAGAACAAAGCCCCAAGCACAGGTCATTATGAGCCCCCACCACATCAGGCTCTGCACAAGCAGGTACCCACCAGCAGTGACAGCCACAGGACCTGCTGCCACCCCAGGGGCTGCACATGGCCTCTCACACCCCAAACCGACAGTCACAGGCTAAGAACAAACTATCAACACCAAACACGGTAAATATGGAAAAACCCCCACCCCAAAATAAACCAAAAAACCCTCCAAAATCTCAGAGGCAGTAAAAACTCACCAGGCAGCAGGGGAGGAAGCAGTGGGAGTGTCTACAGTTGTGGCAGCCCGGGAGGGAGTTCAGCCACCACACCCTCAGCAGGTGCGTGGCAGTCGCTGCAGTTAAGTGCAAATTAAGCAGCAAAACTTCCTATTCACAGAAAACACTTTTTGCACGAGCTGCCCTGCAAAGCTGCTCAGTGCAAGCACTGCAGGAGTGTCCTGACAGCCTCAGCCTGCAGCACATACCTGGCCAGGGTGGGCTCCTGCAGCCCCTTATAGGAGAGGGGGGTTGCAAACAGCTGGAGAAAGCTCCCTTCTAAATTAATGAATTGAAATCTCCTGTGAGTCCCCTTTGCTCTAGGGAAAGGGTGTTTGGGGTTGGAAATTTCTGCTGGAGTCGTGCTATTTTCCCAGTTGTGCCTGAAACAAACAGCATTTTGGTAAATTAGATCAGCAGGAAAAGTCAAATGAATGTGATGGAATGAAACACCCTTATATATTCCCCCCACTTAAATGTTATTTTGGCAAGAATAAATAATAAAAAAAAAAGGAGTAAAGGCTTTGATGAGGGGGAAGCTGAGAGACACAAAGCCCCAGAAAGGCGGCAGGAAATTAAAGTTAATTATAAAGGAGGATTAATTTAAGCCATCAGACATGGCATGCTGGGCTAATGTCAGGCCTTAGACACATTGCAATGCATGACAGAAATCTAAGAGCCGTCAGCCGCTGCAAAAGTGGCTTTTTATTGAAAAACATAAATTGCATTTGGTGTTATCCCAGCAAAACACATGTCAGGGCGGAGGCAGTGGTGGTGTGCAGTGACCACTCGACCACTCTCTTGGCACAGGAGGAACAGGCTGGGCTGTTTCTCTTGCCCAGCCGTCCTGTGGGGCCGAGGCTGTGGCTCTGCTCCTCGGCTCTGAGTCACTTCTGAGGAGCTTTTGCTGATTCCTCTAAAGGACATTTACAGTGCTCCCTAGAATTCTTCATCCCATCTTTTTTTCTTACACCTCACCTGCCGGGTACCAGCTGTGCCCTGGGCTGTGGCGCTGCTTTGGCTTGGCCCTGGCACCGTTCTGTGCCTCCCCCCTGCACTGGGAGGTACCAGTGAACCCCATCCAGACCTGGTGATGAGGCACAGCCAGTCCCTGCCACACCTCGTGCTGCATTTAGATGGGCAGACAAGTTCAGATGCCTAAAAAGTGTGTGCTGCATGGCCTGATTGCCTGCAAGTGGCACTGCCCCCTCCCCTTCTCTGGTCCCTCCCTAATGGATGCAACAATTAGCACAGCACTCCGATCTCTGTCTCTCCCTTCACTCATCCCTCAGAGGGAGCTGCAGAGGAGAAGCCTCAGGTCCATGGCACACCCCAGACTGTCTTAATTCACCTGCAGCTCCGAGCCAGACCTTAGCGAGCAGTGCCACCCCCTTTGTCCTGCCCATCCTCCTGCAGCCACCCCTGTACCCAGCAGAGCTCAGCCTCGCTCCTTAGCCCAGGCTCCACTTGTTGCAAACGTTGGGAACTTCTTTGCATTTAAATAAGGGACTTATTCGGGATTTGACACCCCACTGGGATCCTGCTTCATCACCACAGCCCTGCTCTGAACTGCTGCTGGAAGCTCTGCATAACTTAGCTTTTAATGAGGCCATGCCACATCTCTGCGCTGTGGTGCTGCACAGCAGTCCTGGCCGTGAAACTTTCCTCCTCCTCCTCTTCCTCCTCCTCCTCCTCCTCCTCCTCCCTGCACTCCGAGCTGAGCGCCTTAGCACAGGAATTAGCTGTGCTGCCTCGCGTGATAAAGATGAAGCAGGAGCCTCAGACAAAAGAGCCGCTGCTGGGAGCTGTGTCTGCCAGGAGAGTCTGCGGGCACTTCGAAACCCAGCGAGTCTCTCAGCACTGGTTGTGGGTTGCTGAGGCTTCTGCGCTGCTGTCGCTGCAGAGGAGGTTGCAGAAAGGCATCCTGGCTTTTACAGCAACGCAGGCCCATCACCAGAGTTTTTAAGGCATCAAAGCAAATAATTTTTACTTTGTACCCTTCCCATCTCACTCTCTTTATTGTACTTCGCAGAGGGACTTAACGCGGAGTATGTGAAAGGAGAAAACATGGAAGCTGTTGTAAGCGAGGAGCCCCAAGGTGAGAGCCTTGCCCCCCTTACCCCTGCCTGCATCTGGCCACAAAACCTGCTTTACCCAGGGACTTCTTTATAAAGTCCCTGGTGCAGCACGGAGCTGCTGTGTCCCCTTGATGAAGGCACCGCTTAGGTGGTGCTGCAGCTTTTTGTGAAACACCCACCACAGCGATTTCCCCCCTTCATTGCTCACAAAGGAGAGCCATGGTAAGAGCCCAAGGAGCTCATGCTGCAGACGGTGGCAGTTAATATTTAGCTTTCATGTATCCAGCCATCAAGTGTCTTGCACAAGAGAAGCGTGATCCTCCTTTCAGTGACAGACAATCAAGGCTGCTGCAAAGGCTTTTCCAATGTCACATACAATCAGCGAGTGCCGGGCGCCCGTTGCTTGCGCCCTGGTTCCATCATGTGCTATTGTACTCATGGCTTTTTTTTTTCTTTCTCCCTAGTTAAATATTCAGTCCTGGAAACGCAGTCAGCAGAACCACCAAAACAAGACAGTGCGAAGATATAAAGCGTGACCCAGAGCTAGGGAATAATCAGTCAGCAGCAACGGAGATCTTAACATGCTTGTAATTTAGCTTTTTGTTTGATTTGACTCCAGAGCTATTTAATGTGTACTTAGGCTTGAACTGGCTTCTTATTGCTCTAGGCTTTAGGGTTAGACTGGTAGCATGTGTTTATTTTTTGTAAAGAGGTTTATGTTTACATCGAAGTAATATTGTAGGATTGGTGTGCAGCTGTAGGGAAGCCCACAGAAGGTACTTCAGTCGTGGTCAATGAAGAGCTTACAGGTATGAGGACAGTGAAGTGCCTGTAAATAGCAATCCAAAGCCAAACCACGCAAAGCCCTCTGCAAAGCGCCTCCAGCCAACTTCTGCCATCAGCTCTGGGCACGTCACTTCCAACGGCGGGGTTGAAAGCTGCACGTTTCCTGAGGGTGGATTGCAGTCCTTAGTGTAGCTCCACCTAAAAATGAAGTGCCTACGGTAGGTCCTCATGTGGGGCCTCGGGCTGAGCCAGGTGACTCCCTGCTCTGAAGTCAAGAGTTGAGGGTGCTTCACCACCACCACGCAGGGCTGGGCTTCTCAACCAAATCAAAGGACCTGATTTTCATGCCAAGTCACAAATCCAGGTAAAAGCAGCGTGTGCAGTGTTCACTCTTAGCAAATGCCATTTGAATGCTCCCCCGTGCTAGAGATCAGAGCGGAGCAGAAGCGGTACAGTTTGTCTTTGTGACATGAGATACCTTCAGTGCCACCACCATGAAAGCTGTGTGTGTTTGGATGTTTTCAGGGACAGGTTCAGATCTCAGTCACACAAGAACAAATGACAGATTTAACCCCAAAGAAAATAAACAAAGCAGGTATCTGTTAAGACCTGTAATGCTCAGTACCAGAACAGAAGCCAGGCGTAACAAGATGCAGTGCCCCCTTCTCCTTTTATCAGCAACTACTGAGAGTGCTCCCAGACACCCAGAGGCAGAAAAAGGATTTAAGCTTCACCCTTTGTGTCACTGACTAACCTTTAAAAAATAGCAGAATCTCCTGAGAGGACAGGTCCTCCATCACTGTCCTGCTTGTCTGGGAAGCACTGGGCTGTGCTCAGCAGGACACTGGGCTGCCCAGGACAGAGTGCACACACAGCCCTCTGCAGAGCTGCCAAACAGCTTCCAAAAATTTGTTTAGATTTCTCAATTTCTTCCCAGCCCTTTTTTATTGTTGCTAAAATGTGGACACTGCCACTTTCCAATACACTTGTCCAAATCAATGATTACTTAAAAAGCATGTTCTCAAGTGAAGGAGATTTCACTTTACGTGGTGTTAAGAGGTACTCACTATTTATATGTAAACTTGAAATGTGAGCATTTTGTATTGGTTTGCAAACCCCATATTTTGTGAATATGTATTAAAAAAAAAAAAAAAAAAAAAGCTTTTTCAGTTTGATGTACAAATTCACAGCTTTCAGGTAGACATGACTTCCATAAGGCCTTGCCAGGAGGTGAATCAGCCCAGGAGCATCGCTGCCTAACAGCTCCACTTGGAAGGAAAATTGCCTAGTAACTTGGTTAAGTATTTTGCAATAGCTGCACAATTCTTTATGCTCCTTTTAACACTTGCATTTTTAAAGCCTTACACTAGCTCTAGCAGAACAGCTACAGTGGTTTATAAAAGGTGCCTCGTGACTACTCAGAACACTTAGGCTAAAACAATACTACTCCAAACTGCTGCTGCTTTGTTTTATGGAGGCGTTTAGAATAGGAAAGAAAATTATTTAATTATTGTCTGCTCAGATAATGGAAGCAGAGGAAACAGAGATGGGAGATGCACTCTGTGCTTACTCCCAGAGCCAGGTTTTTGTGGAGGAAGTGTGGTCTGCAGGATTCGGATCATCACACGCAGGCGCTCGGATGCTGGCACAGCTGATTTGTGAATCTCCAGTCCCAAGCACCAGCACCTGTTTCTTGTTCTTACCCAAACACATTCGAAAGCTGTAGCATGAAATGTGTTTTCTGGAAGTTATTGCAGATGAAGTGTTACAGCAGGGCACTGATGATCACTCGAAGCCGCTTTCCCAGCTTAGATCCAGTGGCCACTATTCCATTCCTCCCTTTGCCCATGTCCACGTTCCTGTAGATGCATGTAAGGGCTTTTCCCCTGCTCTCCCTTGTGTGACCAGAGGAGAGTGCAACAGAGTGCAATGTGGCTCAAAGAACACAGCCCCTGCTGCTCCTTTGGGAACCTCTTACATCAGGACATAGAGGAAACACGAGTCTAACTCAAAAAACTGCAGTTCTGCGGTTAAAAAAAAAAAAAGGGGAAAAAAAAAAACCAAAAAACAAAGAAAAAACCAAAAAAACAGCAAGGGGTTTCACTGAAAAACCCAACCCAGTTTTTGGGACTCAGAAATTGCTCCTTTGCCCATGGCTTTTCTCTGACTTCGGTGCAATGTGCGGGCACAGTGAAGGAGAACACTCACAAAACTTAAAATTAACAGGATTGAAGATCCCTTTCTCTGGGATTTCAAACAGGAAAATATTGGCAAATGCTGCAGTAAGGAAATTAAACTTGGGTCTCTTCAAAACTGGACAAAAGTCAAAGTCTTAGTGCAAAATGTCAGCAAAGGCTCAAATTATTGCTGTCTGTCCCCTTCTCCATCTGAACTGCCAGACCAGTCTGTGAGAAACAGGGATTTTATACATCATCCATGTTTTAGGCATTATAGCAACTGAGAGGCTTCCTCTATATTTTCCTAGTAGTGATCTGAGTTCTGGAACAGCTGACCCAGCACTGACTTCTAGTTTAATTATTAATTGTTCTCTTTTAATCTGCATATGGAATTTTTAAAAATCCTGCATTTAAATTCTGTATATATGGTATGAACTTTAAAAACAAAAAGGCCACAAACCACTGAAAAACTGGGATTTTTTTCATGCGTCCAAAACCTCTATATACAGAGGTCCTGAGAATTTCTGTGCTACCTGTGCTTTTTTTATGACCTCTCTTCAGCTTAACTAAAGCTATTTTTAAAGGGCAATAAAATGATTCAGAAAAGGTTTGTCAATGACAGAGAAAAGGGAGAACTGAAAGAATTCAGCTGGCTCTTTTTCTGTTGTTTATTCTCTCAATTACTTGCATTTTCCTTTGGCAGTACTGTAGAACTTTCTTTGTTTTAGATTCCTCAGTTGAGAATACTCTGACATGAATTTCAGATTTTTGGCACTATAAACTGAGTCATTTTCATGCAACTCCACTAAGTAACCCTTACAAGTGCTCTATTGTCATCCTTAACTACTCATTTGTTGTGATAAAAGTGGAATTAGTCCATAATACCATTTCAGATTCTGAAAAAATAGGATGAGTCGACAGGCTGAGGCTTTAAAAATTGCTTCTGCAACATGTGAGGCTCAAGAACAAAGGAAGTTCAGAAACAACAGGATTGTGAAATTAGAGAATCCTTTTCTTCTGAGTGAAGTTCTTACTTTAAGGCAGGCAGATTGTTTGCTGCTGCAGAAGCGACCTGTACCAAATGGGGGTTGAATGTTACTCTCTAAGGAAAAATGATTCCTTTTGTTAATGTGCATGTAAGGGACATGGGGGGGGAAATCAGAATTTGACTACCTTTGGAAAACACCAAATAAACCAAGTTGACTAGTAAGATCTTTTAGGCTTGATTTTTTTCTGTTTTTCATGGTGGAAGTAAACTGCAAGTGGTGGGCCATATCCTTACAGTGCATCACCTCTTCTGTGACTACACCAAAGATGTTAAAAAACCACCCCAAATCGGACTTGGTGACAAAACAAATACCATTATGAAAACTTTCATGGTAAAAAATGAAGTATTTGCACACGTGCACACACACACATGCTCCCCTTGAGGTCACTTAGCAGCTCCACTTGAGGCAGTGCCCCGTGCCCCTGGCTGCACTCAGCATGGCTGGGTTTTGGTTTTTGGTCCTCTTTGCTGCCCTAGGTTTCCTGCAAAATTTAGGAAAGTTTTTTTTGGGATTTTCACACTCAGTAGATGAATCTCCCATGCAGTGCAAACTAAGCTTTTGACGTTTGTATAATGATGCAATGCTCAGTCTCACAGTCAAAACATGTGGTTTGTATTTCAAACTCGCTACTTCTGACTCGTGCTTCTTGCAGAGAGAAAATTTTTTCTTCCCAGTTGCACAAGATCTGGCAAGGTAAAAGCTCGCTACGATACCCACTTACTTCAGCAGATGTGATCTCTCAGCAAATGGACATTCCTTTTTGTTTTCTACCATAAATGCTTCACTTGGGGAATAATCTGAATTGCCCCTTTCACTGCGTCCTCTGCTGTGGGGCTTAATGCACATGAATGAGAGTTGTTGTCTCCTTATTTCCAGCTTATGGAGAACCAGCTGTTCTTGGTGTTACTACAATACAGCATATGAATTACTACAGCTTTTCTTGGAAAATGAAAGCAATGAAACACTTCTTGTTTAAAGCTTTAACTCCTTGAGAAGGCTGCCTCTGCAGGGAACAGAACCAGGCAGATAGGAGTGTTTACCAGCTTTAAAAGCCTTCTTCCATTTTAATGAAACAACAAAAAATTACTTTTATCTACAAAGGAGAAAGAAATGTAAATTCAGCTCTGAAACGACTATTATAGCAAAGTGTCTGATGCTGATGATTTACTTGACTTACTCTACCAGCAAAAAATGTGTCAGCTGGTTACCAAGGCTTCATCCCATTCTGGGACACTGGATTCAGGTTGTTCCCCCTCTCACACTGTCAATGACATCACTGACAACAGGAAAATGCTACGGGCCAAACACAACTGCCTGCTGTCTTTGCACATTCCCTTTATATCCAGCAGAGTCAAAACCAAAAACCAAAGCAAAAAGCTCCAGCTTTTGAACCAGAAATTGATAGTTCTGTCCAAAGTGCATCAGACTGGGAATAGGGTTCTGCTCTTTCCTTAACTAGTTCCATACTGCCTTATTAAACAATAAAAAAAGTAATGACAGAATTAGTTGTTAAATCAATAGGAAAAAAATCTGATTATCAGGAAGCAGACTGAGTATGGTGACAGCGACCTCTTCAATTAACTGGCACATATGAGCTATAGAACACCTTTGAGTATTTCCATGCTAAGTACATACAAACCCATCCATTGTGCTGACACAGAACACCAGGACCCTCCCCCAGTGCTCTCATGCAGATCAGAGACTCGCTGAGCTGTGTTGAAACTGGTGGATACGCAGCCAGTCAGCTGAAATAACTGGTGTTCTTCTGTGCAAAACCAAATTCTGAGTTTAGCTCTAGGAATCCAAGCTTTAAAAATCCCAGAATGCCCCAGCTAATCCAGTCGTCACTTTTGCAATAATTACAGAGAAAGTGTTGTGATTATTAGCACCAATAAAGAGAAAAAACTTCAAAAGATTTTCTTTAGCACTGCATTTTAGAGATAATGTGCTTTACTTTAATATACAGTTAAAATGTCAAGGAAATCCAAAGTATGGGAGAGTTTAATTCAATACCATCTCAACATATTTTGGCAATGTAAAATTCACTGCTGGCACACTGTTCAGCAGAACCATTTTTACAGGAAAACATCTTTCATGTCTTTATAAAAAGCCTGAGGTTCAAGAGATGCAACACTGCAAGCCTTCTTAAACTCCGTTCTTGTAGGTGAATATCTATTATAAAAAGCAATCACTACAGTAAAAAGGACACGCTGAAATACCCTGCACTGCACAGTAAACGTTTAAGACTGGATACAGCACTTCAGCCTTTCCAAGCTGAAGTCAGGAAAGTGCTCAGCAGCTCACCTTGCTCATTAACCACGTGCTGTGTGGAGTTATTGCAGAGAATGAGACAGGAAAGCGCCGTCGCGCATCGGGAACAAATGTGCAGCAACAAGTGAATATTCACAGTCACTAAACCCACAGTCAGCACAGGGAGTCGGCTGGCTCTTAAGAGTGGGGTTTGGTTTCCACCAGCACAACTCAAGAGCAAATACAAGCACGAGTCAAAAAGCAGAGCTGCAATATTTTAAGTGTCCTAAGGAGAAGAACCACATTTTCATGAAACACGGCAAAGAAAACAATCCAGGAAAAAATCTGCAGCATGCACCCATTTCTGGGCCTTCCAAGAAGGCCACTGAATAATTTTCTAGAATGTGGAATGTTACAGTAA